GATGATCATCTAATTGAATACATAACCAAAAATGTATCAATCTGCTGTAAATAGTTGCTCTTTTTTTCATTCTTAAACTAGATCTTCAATGTACTTCATTTTGGAAAGATGGTCAAGTGTTCTCTGTGCCGCTGTAGCATTCTTCGACTTTGTAGCTAGCTTTTGGTTGATATTGTGCTGATTTTTCGAAATCAGATAGTACGAAAAACACAGAAATGATCAAGTCTCTGTGAAGCATGGGATGGTTTTCTTTTCCTATTCCCAATCCTACATTTTCCGGTACTGCCTGGTTTTTGAATGATGCGGTCTATAATTGCTGGTTGGAATGCCAAGGTTGTATCGTTAAGTGTTTGTAGGTGGTTTGCTATCAGTATGATCAATGCTTTCAAGCAACATTCTCCGGATACAACTAGGTTCAAATGGTGTTTTTACTACATCCATTTGATGCTACCTTTTCACTTTGATTTGTTATATACCGTGTGTTTGTCATTATTGTTGCTCGTTATATGCAATGGGCTGTCCGGTCTTGACTGAATACTGTGAACTGTATTTTCTGGGTTCAGGTGGATGCTGTGGTGTACCTGGTAGATGCCTATGATAAAGAAAGGTTTGCAGAATCAAAGAAGGAACTAGACGCACTTCTTTCAGATGAGTCCCTCGCCAATGTGCCGTTTCTTATTCTAGGAAACAAGATCGATATACCGTATGCCGCCTCAGAGGACGAGTTACGATACCATCTCGGTCTCACAAACTTTACCACCGGGAAGGGCAAAGTAAACCTAGCCGACTCAAATGTCCGTCCTCTAGAGGTGTTTATGTGCAGCATTGTCCGCAAAATGGGATACGGCGATGGCTTCAAATGGATGTCTCAGTATATCAAGTAAGGTAACGATCCAAGAGACGTGCTCGGATGTCCCGAGCTCCGATTCCATCTCATCACGCCGGACTTGGGGAAAAATTCATCAAAGTGTTTGAACCAGTCCCTTGGTGGGTTTGTAAGTTTGATGTATTCTGTTTCAGAAAAAAAAAAGTTTGATGTATTCTGGTTTGGATCTGTAAAATCTACTTGTGGCAGCAAATCTATAGTACTGTCGTTTTGTCAATTAGCTTCCATATCATAACCACGTGTAAAAGTTATATTAATTTTAAGGGTTAAATACTCAATTCACCCATTGTAATCAAGAAAAATCAATTTAGCCCACAAACCAAATCTATTGGTATCTAAGTTAACGTCGATACAATATTCGATAATAAGAATGTTTAACGTGACAAAGAACTCTTTCATAACACGGATGAATAGATACGTGGTGCTCTATCATTGGATGAAATTGTCAACTTTTTTAATATTGTTAAATTTTTATTCATATTTGGACGAAATGATAATTTAAGTATCAAAAGTGATAAAAATCAAATTTAGGTATATAAGAAAAATCGACCTAAGCTATTTTTTCGATTTTAGTGACTAAAATGTAAATATTCTAAAGGTGCAATGAAAATGAATATAATTTAGGGTAAACTACGTCAATGGTCACTAATGTTTGAATATTTTTTCCTTTTTCTTATTGGAGTTTCAAAAATAATAAATTAGTCACTAACGTTATCGATTTGTAACAAAACGATCACTCCACCGTTATCTTTACTAAATTGATGATGTGGCAATGTTAAAAATGGTTAATATTTAATTTTATCCCTAAACCACTACTAAAACATCAAATAGGTCCTTTAACAATGATTTTATATCTAATTTACCTCAAAATTTTGTAATTTTCATTTTTTTCCAAATACCCCATCGCCTCCGCTATATTTGAACTACCTCCGTTGCAAAACGATACCCAAATAATGAAAGCTGGAGAAAATTTGATATCGAACATTGATGACTATAGAATACCTTGGATCAATCACAAATCGTATCGCTACTCGTCTTTCATCTAATCTTTTTAAAGCATCACTTGTCAAAACCAGAGCGCTGGTGATAAAATAGAGTTTCTATTGTAAAGTTTTGTAACGACACTAATGCAATAGTATGGTAGAAGAGAAATTAGAAAGCAACAGGAATGAAAATTCTACAGAAGACCTAAATTCAAACTTTATAAGAAGATATTTTAGGCACAAGGTAATAAGGAAAAATAAACCTCAAATGTCGATACTTCAATGTCTTTAACAGAATCAAATTTTCTCTAACTTTAATTATTTGGCTGTCGTTTTGTAAGGGAGGTGGTGGAATGTTTAGAAAAAAATAGACATTAGAAAGCTCGTTCAAAGACCTATATGATGTTTAAGCAGTAGTTTAGGGGTAAAACCATATATTAACCATTTTTTTAAAGTTGTCGCATCATCGGTTTAAGCAGATGACGGTGGAATGATGATTTTGTTATAAATCGATGATATCAATGATTAATTTGTTACTTTTGAAACGTTGAGAAGAACTAAAACTAACTCAAATATTAGTGATCATTGGTGTAGTTTTCCCTACAATTTACACTAACAAATACAGTTAAAATCGGCCTTGTAAATAGTATTTTTTGTTTGGCAAGCCATGAACTAGGAATAAATATCGAAAACCAGAGTATAATCGAAGATGAAGCATCATTGATACCTAAAGAGGAAAACTAACGCAACGAAAATGGAGAAATCTCAGATATGGTTAGCCTTTGGACCCATGTTGTCCTTCTTATTGACATCAACAATGGCGGCCGAAGTCGTCGAACTAACCGAAGAAAACTTCCACAAGGAAGTCGGTCAAGACAGAGGAGCTCTCGTCGAGTTCTATGCACCTTGGTAACGATTTTCTATCGCCTCTCTTCCTCTCTCGTTTTCTCGTTAGATCTTACACTCAGCAATTGAAATGAAAATGTGTTCGATTTTCTCTTATCGTTTTCCTTTTGAATTCTCCTGCCTCTGATTTTGAATCTTCTGTAAGTCTATTTAGAAAGAATGATTTGAATTTAGAAAGACATTAGATCGCAATTCTCAACGTAATCGTTTTCTCGTATCACAGGTGTGGACACTGTCAGAAGATAGCTCCCGAATATGAGAAGCTTGCGCAGAATTTTATGAAGGCTAAATCCGTTTTGATTGGAAAGGTTATTAATCTATGATTACATGAATATGATGAAGTTTTCTTTCTATTTCTATTGATTGGAAAGTTTAGCAGTTAATAATTAAACATATTTTGTTGTTCGAATATGAATCATTGATCAGTGAATTTCGTTTCGAATGTGAACTGTGAAAATTATACTATATTGAAAGATTTTGTTGATTTGGTATAGTTGGACTTTGATGAGCATAAGAGTCGATGTATCAAATATGGTGTTGAAGGCTACCCAACTGTTCAATGGTTCCCTAAAGGCTCTCTGGAACCTAAAAGGTGAGTCTAATTTAACTTGTGGAAGTAGAAATTGGAGAGTTTTGATCTTTTTTTTTGTGCTTTTGTAATTGGTTTTAACATTTTATTTAGAACATTGCTCTTACCGCATCAAAACTGTTTTCTCTAGGTATGAAGGACACCCAACTGCTGAAGCCCTTACTGAGTTTGTGAATACTGGAGGAGGTAACATGAGTCGTTTCGCTTTTAGATGTTCCTTTTTTATGTTTCTTAATCTGTGAAATTCTGCCTTGATTTCTTTCTTTTGTGTGTTTCTGAGGTGACTAGACTAGCTGAATGTACATTAATGCACAAAGGTGAAAACCCACTAGGATTCTGCTTATTTTAATTTGTTTGAATTCTATCAAACAATGACTACAATTATTCTCTAATTTCTTTTATTAAGCTAAAGTAATTATAAAGGAGTATATGTTCTAAACATTATCAATAATTTGACAATGAATGCTCAATCACCTTACCGCAATCATTGGTGTTTGAACCCATGACCTTTAAGAACAACAACAATTTTTTTAACAACTGAAGTAAGTTGGTTCATGCACGATTATTGTTTAATTAGTTTTAATTTAATTTATATAGTCATATTATAATGGTCCCAAATCCTCATTGATTGTTTGAGAAATTTAATATTTGGGGATCCCCATTGAAAAATATTAGAGAACATTGTGTGCTTTTGTGTTTCTTTCTAATATAGTGTCGAGGACTCCATGTCAAGGGGAAGGTTTCATATATTTTTTTCTCCTTATTTTAATTTTCTTTTTTGTTGTTTAGAAATACTGTTATGATGATTTCAACGCGTTTTCTTATCCAGTGGTTCTCGATGTGGCCTCGGTGAACTTATTCTTCCTGACAATGAGCCTGGCAGCAGTATTATGCCTGTAAAATTCTCATCTTTATCTATCGGTTTATTAATATGAATATGGATATGATACGATACGATACGATACGAATAAAATAATTCATGAAATTTAATATTTTTTTTAGGGAAGGTGAATCCTGCACAATGTGAGGCTCTTACTATGGTCTGTGCCCAGGTTATGGGCAACCATGTGGCTATCGCAATGGGTGGATCAAATGGTCACTTTGAACTCAATGTGTTGAAGCCATTGATGGCTAATGCACCTCTTACATGTGTGTAATTTGTTCTTTTCTTGCATTTTTCACTTATCTGACACGCATTTCCGTCGATCGCCAGAATTCGGATGTAACTCTTGTTTTCTTTTTTTCCTTGGTATCAGTCGATACGGTTGCTGGGGGATGCAGCTGCTTCCTTTGAGAAGAACTGTGTGAAGGGAATCCAAGCTAATAAGGAAAGGATTTCGAAATTACTGCACGAGGTCTGTAATCTCTTCATGTTCGACTTATCGTCGTCCCTAAATTTTTTTATAATTCGATCGATTTTGATTTCCGAAGCTAACCATGATCATGTGTTGTCGGCTTGTGACAATTTGCAGTCTCTAATGATTGTGACATCCTTGAACCCTATAAGTCTCCATCTTTGTTTCATTGTCTTAATCATGAATGTTTGCACTTTGAATATGTTCTGTTTGGACCTCCTTGTTATTTCTTCCATCTATCAAGGGTCGAGGAATTCGAAGTTCGTCAAAATCTTCAAAATTTCATATCCTCCCGAATTACTTGGAAGTCTCTAATAATTCATGTCCTCCGGATAGTAATAAATTCTTTGATATGATCTCTACAGATCCACATAAATGTCAGATTAAAATTCATTATCAAGCGTTCATATTCATCAGTCCTATCAACATACGAGTAGACATTATAACCCTAACCTGACAGTAGCACCAAGTATATATTATTATGTTTTGCTTTTATTTATTAATTAATTAAATTTCTTGCTTCGTAAAAAAAATCTTACGAGTCCAAATACGCGGTTTATACTCACAAAAGTACGTTAAATTTGAGGTTGATGATGAGATAACTTGAAAGTATTCAATTTTGATATTGAAATCTTAAATTGTATAATTTTGATCTTTTAAATTAACCTACAAGTATTGTAGAGACGACCGTTCTTCTTTACGAGGATAGGATGTCGGGAAAGTTAGGTCATATGTAATTTGGGAATTGGGACCATAATACTAATGAATAATTTTCTACATTAATCTTAATTTTTAATTAATCTATGGTCAATTAAAAATTAATTATTTAAGTATTTACACATATTTGACACATATAATAATGGTAGATATCGACAAAATATTTTTCGGTTACTTCAAATATTTGGGATTTAATAATCTCAAATGATTATAAAATAATATTTGATCGATTTTTTTTAATCATTGACAATCACACACACCTTACAAACAAAGATGCTCAAATTGGATTCCTTCGAGAATAACAACATTTTTTATCATCGAGATCATTCAATAAGTTGAAGTCTAATAAATAGGATTAACTACATGATCGATCACTTATATTTGTGTTTTGTTCACTTTTCCTCACTGATTTAAAAAACTAAGATATGACCACTTTCGTTTTTGTTTAATTAAGATGTTGTCACCACGAGTTATTTGTCGTTAAATATTTTGCTATAATCACACATTTGGTCTCTATTATTTACATATTCTCTTAATTTAGTAATACTCTTAATAAATTAAAATAAGTTTAATCCTCCAATCAAATGATGCCACATGTCACTAGTACCGCATGTCATCGTTCGATTGGAGGACTAACTTTATTTTATTTTAATTTATTTTAAAATATTTTTATTTTAACATAGGGTTAACTTTAATTTAATAAATTAAATATAATAAATTAAAATAAGTTTTAAAAAATTTAGTCTTTCAACCGAATAGTGACACGTGGTATCATTCGATTGGAGGATTAAATTTATTTTAATTTACTAAATGTATGTCCAAATTGAAAGGATGTGTAAATAACAGAGACCAAATATGTAATTATACCAAAATACTCTGTCACCTAATATGTTAACTGTTAACGACAGTTAACCCGCGATGATCATATCTTAATTAATGAAAATAATTATATTTTAATTAAATAAAAAATGAATATATATTATGTTTTTTGAAATCATTAAAGAAAAATAGACAAAACACAAACTAAATGATCAATCGTGTAGTTAATCCTAATAAATAATATATAAATTATTATTTATTGTATACGTGATGTTCAGATAATCCAAAAAAAAAAAATCTTTAGGACTTTAGTCATACAACTTCTTCCCTTATATTTATTAGACTTAATTGAAAATTAAGTATTTAAATTATACATTACTTATTTTAGTTATTTAAATATTATTTTGTCAAAATAAATATTTAAGATTTAAATTTATAATTAATACTAAATTACCCGTAAAAATGGTTATCCTTCATTGAAGTGTTATTAAAGCTCTCCTAAACTTTTTTTTACTCACCTTGATTTTACTTTCGCATAGATGAATTTTCACAATAGAAGTATTTTGAGACTTTTTTTTAGGATTGAGGTCTTGTTTCTACTCTCACATATACTTCTTGCAATCGAAGTCCCAATAATTTAGAGTTTTTATTTTTTTAAAATGAAAACAAAGACACTTGTACTAGAATTGATTCACTATGAATAGATCAATTCTTAAAATAAAAGTATTTCGACTTAAATTATTCTATTCTTTTAAAATAGAGAGTAAAGTATAGTAAAAAGCTGTAATTTAGGTCCCCCGGCTTTTAAAACTTGCAATACAGTCCCAACATTTAGTCTGTTTGCAATATGGTCCCCGACGTAACCTGTAGTTTGACGCCGTTATACTGTCGTTAGTACGTTTGCTAATATGGTCACTAAACTTTTCAGGCACTTGCATTTAGGTCCCCCAACTTTTAAAATTTGCAACACATCCCTCAATTTCATTCTAAACTCCAAATTCCTTTTCGATCTCGAATTTCCTTTTTCGCTTCTCTCTTCTCATTTCCAGCATAACTTTTCAGTCGGGGATGCATGGGAAATTCTAATCTAACTTTGAATTATGTGGAGGTGTTGACTTGAATAAGGGTCCATTGAGAGAAGACCCGACCAATGGACTATCGGGACCATCAACGATTCAAGGTGTAATGTTAGATACATGTCATCTCATGTGAAACATAGATGTTCGATGAAATACTTGTGAGAAACAAATGGGGTTATAAATGCAAAATTGACAAATACTACTAAGATGAACTAAGTATCATTGTTGAAAGTCACCAACAAAGCTGAAATTATTTTGTATAAATGACATATAATAATTTCTTCGTTTAATCATTCTGGTTAAAGATTTTCCAACAAATTATCAAATATAATGAAATCTCAAATAACACATTCACCTCTCAGTCTCTTTTGTAACTCGAAAGGCATCATGACAGGGTCAAGTAGCTGCTCCAAATATACTACCCTGTCATGATGCCTTTCGAGTTGCGTGCATGCAAAATTCGTTAATGATATATTAGTCCCATAATCAACATGAACTTATTAAAAATAATACGAGCTCACAGGACGCCGAAAACCACAGGTCGGATCAGTACAATTCCCAGTAAACTAGTACCAGCAGTCTCTCGGATTGAGCATGACGATTTAACTATGTCGATACTCACAACCAATTCTTTGATTTAAAGAAAAATCAAATAATAAGATCAAAAAATTTAGCCTAGGACCCTATTTCACTTCTATTCTGATGGACTGAATATCTTTCATAAGGAGTACTAAAAGTTTTGATTAAAAAGAAAGAAATAAAATTAAATGGTTTTGATTCAAAATTAACACTGAATATTCAGATCATTGTTGTCAAATTTGGGGTTTGGGGTTTAGATTGAAATTCAAATTTAAATATTTTTATAGTTTGTAAATAAAATTTAAATAGAGTGAATATCTAGATCGAAAATGAATTTGGGGTTTAGAATGAAATTGAGGATTGTGTTGCAAGTTTTAAAAGTTGGGGGACCTAAATGCAAGCGCATGAAAAGTTCAGTGACCATATTGCAAACGTACTAACGGTAGTGTAACGGCGTCAAACGACCGGTTACGTCGGGGACCATATTGCAAACGGACTAAATGTTGTGGGACTGTATTGCAAGTTTTAAAAGTTGAGGGATCTAAATGAAAGCTTTAAAAAAGTTCAGTAACCATTACTATACTTTACCCTAAAATGAATTATTTTTTTAATTTCTTTTGTTCGTTTCTCTAAAACAATTGAAGGGAGGAAAAGGAAAATGAAATAAATAATCGAATGCTAAACATCACAAATTTTTTAAGATTTATTTTACAAATTTTAAATATAATCTTAATCCTACTTAGAGCGAAGGGAAAGAAAAAATCTAGGAAAAGGAAGGAAAATGTTGCTAATAAATCTAAAACTCATAACTTAATGAGAATATTTGATAATTTTTTTTGCCCACCCACTTCATAAGTCTTCACCTTGATTAATTCGGATTGACCCGGATCGTACACTTGATTTTGATATGTAAGTCTCCCAACGTGGATTTTCTGCATGCACAAGGACCCGAACTTGAGACTTATTTAAGAGATATCAAACTGCTTACTACTTAAACCAACCCGTTAGTAATATTAAATAAATTTTTAATGATAACTAAAAATAATTATAAAATAAAATGTTAAACATTTATTTTAGAGAAAATCGCCTCAGTGACCAAAAAAAAGTTATAATATACGATTTTAACCAACTTTTTTTGGATTTGCCAAAATGACCAACAAAATCGCAACGCGAAATAAAAATCGCAACGCGATCCCCAGAATCGCAAATCAGTTTCCAGAATCGCAACGCGATTCTTGAAAATCGCGATGCGATAGTACAAATTCGCATTGCGATTTTCCATAATCGCAACGCGAATATGAAAATCGCAACGCGAACACATAAATCGCAACGCGTATCCGTAAATCGCAACGTGTATCCGTAAATCGCAACGCGTATGGGTAAATCGCAATGCGTATCCGTATATCGCAACGCGTATCCGTAAATCGCAACGCGTATCCGTAAACCGCAACGTGTATCCGTAAATCGCAACGCGTATCCGTAAATCGCAATGCGTATCCGTAAATCGCAACGCGTATCCGTAAATCGCAACGATAATCCGTAAATCGCAACGCGTATCCGTAAATCGCAACGATAATCCGTAAATCGCAACGAGAATCTGTAAATCGCAACGATAATCCGAAAATCGCAACGAGAATCTGTAAATCACAACACTGAAATTTTGGGTATATACACTGAAATCATAAACTAAATCCCTAAATCGCAACTCATTCCATCTCCATCTATCACTCTCTCCGGCGACATCCGTTCCTATATCCAACGACATCCTTCCCCATCCGGCAACAGGTCTTAGTTTCGCATCTCGTTTGTTTAGTTACAACCATGAAATCATCTAATGTTGATCATGTTTGGATAGATTTGTGTTTTGGAGGGTCATGGGATAATGTTAATGGTGTTTTACAATATATGCCTTTACCCATAAATCTTCAACTAAAATTGTCTTTACAAAAGTTAACTTATGAAACTCTAATGCTACGTGTTCAAATAAATTGAATTTAGAGCCCCTAAGTGGATTTAGGCTATCTTATCAGAGAAATGGTAAAGTTTATTTGTTAACCGACAATGAAGATGTTGAACGATTCATTGCTTACATTAGTGTTTCACAAGATGATGTTACATTGTATGTTGTTGAACCTAGAAGTAGTATGTTGGGTCAGTAGCGGGTAGTAATCAACTAAGTTTTTCTCAAAACCCACAACCTTTCTCTAATCCAAATCCCAATCAACTTTCAGCACCAAATTCCGGTTTTCGTATTGACCAGTTAGACGATGATGAGCCAACAGAAAAAATTGTGAGTACTAGTCAGTATTCGAAATTTGGTCTTGGTCAATATCCGGACTTTGATATTGGTCAATACACGGATTTTGATGATGTTTCAGAAGAAGAAACAGACCATGCGTGTAATGATATTGATATTGGTCAATACCCGAATTTTGATGATGAAACAGCCGTTGCCGAAGAATGTAATGTTGATGATAATGAGGAGGAAGTTACGACTGTGAATGAACATGTTGAACATCCATTCTGTAATTCATATAATCCTGAAGAAGAAAAAGAAGAAGAAAAAGTCCCCGAAGAAAAGAAATGCCACGGGCGTATAACTGGAATATGCCAGAATTACTTCAGATACCGGAAGAAGAGTTGATAAAGAAAGCAGTTGATTGTTACACAAAGTTATTCGTATCAAGAAAGATGATTGTTTTGATACAAAGGAAGACTTGAAGATAGCTTTATATACGAAATGTGTGGAAGATGGCTATCAACTAAAAGTTAACAAATCAAGCAAAGATCGTTTCGAAACAAGGTGTATGATTGACAAAACTGTACGTGGCGTATGATTGCAAAGAGAATAAAAGATTGCAAAATGTTTCAAGTTAGGACTTTTATTGATAAACATACATGTTCAAGAACCCAAGTTTTCCTCACCATAGACAGGCAAACAAAAGGTGTTGGGTGGTTTTCTGGCTGAGTTAATGTTTTTGAATGGCAGGGTATATCGGGGACATGAAATTATGACTGACATGAATGCTCGGTTCAAGATTAGTATATCATATTCTCAAGCTTGGAGAGCCAAATGTTATGCCTTGGAATTGTTGAGGGGGTCGCCAGAAGCATCGTTTGCCCAACTGCCGGCTTATTGTCACAATTTAAAGCTGAAAAATCCTGGGTCGGTAACTCATATCAAAACAGATAGAGATGGACGCTTTGAGTTGCTGTTTATCGCCATTGGTGCTACGGTTAGTAAATCAATATAATTTTGTTGACTCATTTTGTTAGTTACATGCATTTCACATTTAAATGATTATATTTCTTGTGTATATTATTTTGTAGATTCGTTCGTTTATTACTTGCATGCGCCCAGTTATTATAGTTGACGGAGCACATTTGAAAGGTCGATACCTTGGAGTAAACTTATTAGCAGTAGCCATGGATGCTAACAATGGGATATTGCCAATAGCTTACGGGGTTGGCAAATCTGAAACCTCTGATTCATGGACATGGTTTATGGGGCATCTTAGGGATTGCATAGGTCCTATTAGCAATCTGACAATCATATCCGATAGGGCAAACTCAATTGACAACGCTGTTAGAAGGTGTTTCCCAGATGCTTTTCATGGACTTTGTGGTGTTCATTTGTATAGAAATCTAAAATCAAGGTCTGCTGGTATAAAAAAGCACAAATGGACATACTGGAAGGCTGTAAAAGCTTATCGGGAAGTGGATTTCAATAAGCATATAATTGTTTAAGACGTGTTTTGCCTCAGTGTGCTCAAACACTAGAAGATGTCGGGTTTGAAAGATGGTCAAGAGTACATCAACTTGGAGCAAGATATGGTTTCATGACGTCTAATAGTGCAGAATCAATCAACGCTCTAAGTCGTCATTCCCGGAAATTACCCATTACTATGTTAATGGAGTTTTTTTCGAGCCTCTATTCAACAGTGGTACTACAAGAAAAGAAACCATGCAGGTATTATTCTTTGAATTCGTAACTTATCATATTTATATATTTTACTAAGTATTGTTTATTTAAATTTACAGGAACATTGGAACATCGTGTTACACCATGGACTGAAAAAAGATAACGAAACGTGTTGTGAAGTCAACGTCATGGAGAGTTGAACCATGTTCAAACACTTTGTTTCAAGTACTGGATAATAACTTAAATGGGCTAGTCGATCTAAATGCAAAGACGTGTAGTTGTATGAAATGGCAAACATCTGGTTATCCGTGTGGCCATGTTATAAAAGTTGCTCTTCATTTAAACCAAGATGATTCAAGCGCATACGCTATGGATTGCTACACTACAGAAGTTTATCGACAGACTTATGCCGAGATTGTCTACCCTATTCCACATCCTTCTGAGTGGACATACCAGATGACTTACAAACAGTTTTGCCACCAGCCATGGACAGAAGGCTACCTGGCCGACCAAAAAGTCACGATCGTATACCGTCTAAGGGTGAAGAGAAGAAGAGATCGACATGTAGTCGGTGCAAGGAAAGTGGTCATACAAGGTTGACATGTGGATCACCAGTGCCATCAAAATCATCTTTTCCTCTACCAAAATATGGATCCTCATCAAAATCCAAAGCTCATATGGTGTGAACTTTGTATTATGTAAACGTTGTTATTCAGTTGTATTATGTAAACGTTTTAACATTTAACATTTTATGTGTATTATGTAAACGTTGCCATCAAAAGCTCATATGCAAACGTTGTATTATGTGGATTTTATGTGTGAACTTTTAACATTTTCAGTTGAATTAATGACTCAGGCCAACCATTTTGACTTAACCAACTCTTGTTATTCAGTTGTTATCACTATTAGGCATGCATTTGACTATCGCAACACGGAAAATACAATCGCAACGCGAAATGAAAATCCCAACATGAAAATCGCAATGCGGAAATGAAAATCGCAACGAGAGAATCGCAATGCGAAATGAAAATCGCAATGCGAAATGAAAATCGCAACGAGAGAATCGCAATGCGAAATGAAAAAATCGCAATGCGAAATGAAAATCGCAACGCGAGAATCGCAATGCGAAATGAAAATCGCAATGCGAAATTAAAATCGCAATACGAAATGAAAATCGCAATGCGAAATGAAAATCGCAATGCGAAATGAAAATCGCAACGAGAGAATCGCAATGCGAAATGAAAATCGCAATGCGAAATGAAAATCGCAACGCGAGAATCGCAATGCGAAATGAAAATCGCAATGCGAAATTATAAACGCATTGCGATTTTCATTTCCGCATTGCGATTTTCATTTCGCATTGCGATTCTCTCGTTGCGATTTTCATTTCGCATTGCGATTTTCATTTCGCATTGCGATAGTCATTTTTTGCCTTCAACATAATGCAGATTGAAATCAACAAAATCAACCATTACATTTCAATCAATTAAACAAGCACAAATAAGAATTATGTTCGCATCAATTACACAAATCAACTTTTACAAATCATCTTTTACAAATCAATTAAACAATCAAAAATTGAATCAACTTTACAAATCAATTAACAATCAAAAAACAATCAATTAAACTATTGAATCAACTTTTGCAGCTCGACATCATTTTCACGCAGTTCACTTCTGAGATTAACCTGCAGAAACCAAACATTTGTTCAAACAACACTTTCTACGCAAATTATTGAATTCTAATTACTTAACCAAACATTTTCATTTATAAGTATATAAACTTACCAATTGTTTATGGACATTTTTATAACGCGGATGCAGGTAGGCAGCGTCTCGTATATATCGATTTAGCCATATAATGCCGAAACCACAAGCCTACTGCAGCTTTATCTCTATCGGTGGGAGGTAGATACTTGATGCTTCCCGTCGTCAAACGCTCCAACGCCAAGCATACGAGAGGACCACAATCTCCTCTGGCTCCGCTCGTTTGTGTGGCGCGGTCTCGTCTCTAATAACTGTAATATTGAGCTTCTTTGGCTTCTTGTTTCCAGAACGAGTCCAATAATTGATCGCATCCAAGAATTTAGCCAAATGAGAGCTCCATCCCTTAATAACATCTCTTAAATCAGCCAATGATATGTAATTTATCATGCTGTCATACACTATTGTCTTAAGGGATGGGAGCTGAAGCTCGACGAGAATCCAATGTTTACGTTCCAAAACAGGGATAAACACCTGCAATCATAAGTAATAATTCATTCATTTGCGCACTTATTTCATAAAACCTTTAAACTCAATCTAAAATAAATACTAACCTTATCGACCTCCCACCATGCAGGATAAAGTTTAGCTTGTCCATTGCCCAAATCAAATGATTCATCTCGTGCATTCTTCAAGTGAACGGCGTGAAAAGACGTCGGCATTATTGTATATCGTAAATTTTTATTTTTCTTAAGTTTTCTTATTATTAGAAGACGTGTCACCCACGCATCGATATGCTGTTTTACAAAAAAAGACATATTAGTGACTTACATAAATTTAAAAAAAAATTAATCAAATTGAAATATAAGAAAAATATAAGACTTACCCCCCCATCGAAATAGCCATTGTCTTCGACCCCTAATAATACGCCCCACCAAGGCCGTTCAAGCAACAAAAAGATATCATCGGTGAGCTTGCATATGTCAGTGAAACACCCCTTGCTCCGCTCATGTAGATAAAAATCAACTGCGGTCTTAGCCCAAAGGGTGTTATCCAAAATTGTGTCCGGTAGTTGTTCCCTCTCCTCTTCAGATACCGGTATGGTACTGGCCGGTAACTCATACGAGAGCCAACTCTCATCCATCATGTCCGGAACCGGTGGGGGTTTCTCAATACTTCGATATATTACCCATGTGAATCGGGCTCTGGAATGGTGGGAGGGACCTCTTCAACGATGACAGTTGCCTCTTGAACGGTGGGAGGGGACTCTCGAGGAATGATATGGGGGCCTCTTCAACGATAGGAGTGGACTCTTGAGGGATGACAGGCGAGTCGGGCTTCTTCTTGCGGTGTCTTCGCACTATTGGGGTGTACGGAGACTTAATAGCACGTGCACGCTGTCTGATGCGTGAACTCCGTCGTGCAAGCATAACCCGACGTAAAGCATCCACTCTATCGGGCCGCTAAATAATTAAATACAAAAATCAGTAAATAAACAGACATAATATTTAAACAGTGAAAACAAAGACAAATATGTTTCAAACTTGCATTGTATTCACCCAAGTCATTATTCTATCATAGTTCACAAAATGCATCAGATAACAAAGAAAAATATGTTTCAAACTAATACCCTGAAGTTAGTATTTGTCTTTGATTTGTCTATTGGTTGAAGTAATGCAATCCATTCAAGTTCAATTTGCAGAAGAAGAAATAGTTTACTTTCGCAACACGAAACTTAAAATCGCAACGCGAAACCAAAATCGCAACGCGAAATGAAAATCGCAACGACAGAATCGCAACGCGAAATGAAAATCGCAACGAAAGAATCGCAACGCGAAATGAAAATCGCAATGCGATTTTGGTTTCGCGTTGCGATCTTGTCGTTGCGATTTTGGTTTCGCGTTGCGATTCTGTCGTTGCGATTTTCATTTCGCGTTGCGATTTTGGTTTCGCGTTGCGATTTTAAGTTTCGTGTTGCGAAAGTAAACTATAAATTCTTCTGCCAATTGAAACTTGAATGGATAAATTTACTTTCAACCAAAAGACAAAACAAAGACAAATACTATTTCACAGTGTTAAAGAATACACAGTTTAGCAGAATTGGCAGCAACCGAACAAATTTACTTTCAACCAAAAGACAAAACAAAGACAAATACTATTTCACAGTGTTAAAGAATACACAGTTTAGCAGAATTGGCAGCAACCGAACAAATTTACTTTCAACCAAAAGACAAAACAAAGACAAATATTTCACAGTGTTAAAGAATACACAGTTTAGCAGAATTGGCAGCAACCGAACAAATTTACTTTCAACCAAAAGACAAAACAAAGACAAATACTATTTCACAGTGTTAAAGAATACACAGTTTAGCAGAATTGGCAGCAACCGAATAAATTTACTAAGCAATCTAAGTGAAATGGCTAATCTAAGTGAAATTACGAGTAAATTTATCATTAAGTTAAATATGGAAAATCTTAAACTTACCTCGTTGCGTAGAGTATGAACCTCATTCTGCAACGATACTATCATCTCACGTAGAGCGGCAACCTCACCACGTAAAGTTGACACCTCCACACGCCATGCACCATCGTTATCGCGTAGAGTACCGATCTCCTCACGCAAGGCATTGACCTCATCACGTAACTCCCTTGACTCATCCCGTTGAGGTGGAGGTGGAGAACAGGGAGATAGGAGTCGTGGCATCTTTGCCGGTCGCCTATCATGAGTGATGGTGGAGAAGAGGCTCGATGATGTGACGGGATAGGTGATGGCTCTCGTTCTAGAGGTGTATAGTCGTCACGATCGGGTGATGGCTCTAGGTGAGGTGATGGCTCTCGAATTGGAGGAAGTGGATGCTGCTCATCATCCGTGCCATCAAAAAAACTCTGACTAGCTTGCCACCAATCAGTGGCAAGCTCTTCCTCCGTGGGTGACAGTCTTTGTAATGGAATGTTGGCCTCCTAAAATATAAAAACTCAAACAAAGTTAAACGTCTACTATTAATAACTTGTTTATATATTATATGAAAGTATTTGTGTTAACTTACATTATTATTGTGGCATATGGTATTAAGTCTTCCCAATCCAACAGAGTTTTCCTCTTCCAGGAAATAGCCCTGGGAATATCATTTGACGTTTTTATTGCATATGTACGCATGCTGGGGAAAGCCTCGAATATCCAAATCTACAAACAATATAATAACAAAATTAGTAATTGTTAAATAATTAATTATAATTTTAGAAACATTATATAGAAATTCTTACCTTAAAGGCCCAAACAAAGCCTGACAAAGTGTATTTGGACCATCGCCCCGCAAACTTTTGCGGTCATCAAAGGCAGACGACAACTTAGTCCAGGTAGCTTTCCATATATACGAACCCCACGGAAACAGATTCCATGCATTCAGGTCCTCTACCAATATTATTAGCTCCCGATGAATAGGTTGTCTGGCCTCTCTGCCTAAAAAGCCGGCATACACAAGTAGTAGAAGGCATACTCGGACAACATCGACGTCTTCCATCCGAGTGAAACCAGCTTTCTTATTAAATAATTTCTTCAGGTCGTCGACATGTAGGTTCGGCTTCTCCATTGACTCATCCGGAAAAACCCGGGATAACCATGATGGGCGGGCGATATGACGAGTGTACCGGCCTACATCATCGTGTCCGAATCGTAGACCAGTGATTAAGCAGAACTCCTTCCGCCCAAAGCAAGTATACGCTGGTGGAAAATGAAACCATATCTCTCCTCACCACGTTGTATACTGTCGGGTAGATTTGATGTCATGGTCTGAAGCCACAAATGGGTCAAATTAGCATCTCCACCCGGATGCTGTACTCTCAGCCATGGCCCGAAGCAGGTTTCCTCAAACAATTGTCTTTGAGCAGGTGAAAGCTTCTTTGCAATTGTAGTGGCCAGGCTGACTTTATTTCTCAAGGTCAATTGAGCCGAAAAAAATTTCTACAAAAACAATAAACATACCAAGTTAGATATACCAAAAACTACACTGTGAAGATATACCAAAAACAATAAACAAAAAGTAGTAGTTTATTCTTTAAACTAAAATTTGCAACACTGTTTTGTCTTTTGGTTGAAATGAAAATCGCAACGAGAGAATCGCAACGCGAGATGACAATCGCAACGAGAGAATCGCAACGCGAAATGAAAATCGCAACGAGAGAATCGCAACGCGAAATGAAAATCGCAATGCGATTTTGGTTTCGCGTTGCGATTCTCTCGTTGCGATTTTCATTTCGCGTTGCGATTCTCTCGTTGCGACAGTCATTCTCTCGTTGCGATTTTCATTTATCTCGTTGCGACTCTTCTGCAAATTGAAACTTGAATGGATTGCATTACTTCAACCAAAAGACAGAACAAAGACAAAGACAAATACTAACTTGAAAATCGCAACGAGAGAATAGCAACGCGAAATGAAAATCGCAACGACAGAATCGTAACGCGAAATGAAATCTAAGTGAAATGGTTAATCTATTATTGAAATGACCAGTAAACTTATCATCAGTTTCAATATGAAAAACCTACAATAATGCAAACATTTCAAAATAAAAATAATTAAAAAAACTAACCCTCGGAGGTTGATTTTCCATTTCTGAATATTGTGAGGGATTTCTGACCGTGAATGGTTGTGAGGGATTTCGCCGGAGATGGGGACGGAAATCTTCGGAGATGGGGACGGATTTCTTCGCCGTAGAGAGTGAGAGATGGAGATGGGACTGAGTTGTGATTTTAGGTTTTAGGTTATGAGTTGCGATTACGGGATTTTGTCTTAATATTCTTTTTGTAATTTGAAAATAAAATACGCGTAGCGATTATAATGGCGCTTTAAATATCGCGTTGCGATTTACGGATACGCGTTGCGATTTTATGTATTTATCGTTGCGATTTACGGATACGCGTTGCGATATACGGATACGCATTGCGATTTACCCATACGCGTTGCGATTTACGGATACACGTTGCGATTTACGGATACGCGTTGCGATTTATGTGTTCGCGTTGCGATTTTCATATTCGCGTTGCGATTTTGGAAAATCGCAATGCGAATTTGTACTATCGCATCGCGATTTTCAAGAATCGCGTTGCGATTTTGGAAACTGATTTGCGATTCTGGAAACTGATTTGCGATTCTGGGGATCGCGTTGCGATTTTTATTTCGCGTTGCGATTTTGTTGGTCATTTTGGCAAATCCAAAAAAAGTTGGTTAAAATCGTATATTATAACTTTTTTTTGGTCACTGAGGCGATTTTCTCTTTATTTTAACCTTATTGATGCCTGCGTACCGCTGGTAGCAGTACAAATTTTCGTTACGAATTTAGGTGGTAGTACAAATATTTTAATTAAATTTAGTTAAAGTAGGAAATTAATTAAATTAAAGTGTTAAAAGAGTTGGGAATTGTACATTTTTTTTTAAGGAAATTGGGAATTGTACTTGAATGCTTCAAAGGAGGTAAGAGCGGGCAAATACTCCATAAATAACAGCACGAAATCTATGGGCGCCAGTTTCACCTAACAAACATTGGAGGTGACGTGTCAGTTCCACCTACCAAGGTTCTGTGACAAGAAATGAGATTCTTCGGACAAGACAGAGATCATACGATCAAAACCGTAACCGCAAAACCACCGGCGGCGCCGCAGCTTCCCCAACTTAGATTATATTTAATGATTGTAAAGCTCTCACTTTACCGACATCTTGACCCGCACAGCAGAACTTCCCGCCCAACTCACCCGCTTTGGGACCCACTCCATTACCGGCGTTCTTTACAAGTAAAATTCTTCCCAGTTCTTCGTTTATATAGTTTTATAAAAATAAACGTGAATTAAGTGATCTCGATGGTAAATGAGTTATTATTTTTTGAGATATCGAGTTCGAATACAAAGAACATCAAGAATATAAGTGTTCAATATCAAATGGTGAAGAATCATCTATAAATAAATATTATCTTATATTTATCCCAAGTTAATAATTTTTAACAAAGATTAAGAAATATAATTCTTTTAAATAGTATACATTGATTATAAAATAATATTTATTTAAAATATTTTTTAAGTAATATTTTTTAAGTATTAATCATTTATGCGCATTCTATATAGTTGTTTAAATTTGAATATTCCAAAATAAACAATATTTTATTTCATTATTGAATATATTTAATGAATTCTTAAAATAAGTATATCTTTTAATTTTGAACTAATTCAATATATTTATAATCAGTAAATTACTTGAAATCTGACTAATATGATTTAAATGAATATAGCATAAAACATAATAATTTAATTAAATAAATATTAATTACATAAAAGAATATTTAAATAATTTTTGATATCACAAACATAATTGAGTTAGGGATGATTTTTACAATTTACACCATCCAAAAAGTTTGGAACAATATCGATGAGGTGAAAAAAGTAATTAATTAAAATTAATTGCGATATTTTTTGCATTTCACAAATTCAAAGACAAATCAAACGAATGTAACAATTAAAAAGAAGTTGCGACAGTAAAGAAAACAAGGAAAGCATACAAAGAAAGAGTAAAACCAAAGCCGTGCCGTCACATTGTCAGCGACGCCGGAGGAAAAGCGACGGCACTGCTATCATCTTCATCAACAAAGCTCCAAAGGTCACCGAAAACACTCTCCGGCTGAGCCATGGCATTTTGGGTCGACGGTTCTCCTCCCAGATATGGGATCTCATACAATTTCATGTAATTCTCGTACGCCATTAGTTCCTCCGATAGTTTCTGCACTTGGCTGTCTTCTTCAACCCCGAACACGGCCTTATTCACTGCCTCTTCTTGTTCGGCCTTTACCGGAAGGTGACGTGGATTCATCGTGTTTTGATCGCTATACCCTGAATTTTCCTCTTCAGGTATGACGATCGGGTCAGTACAGAACCCGCCAGGTTCGTTCCAGTCACAATAGAATCCATTGTCGCCGAGATTATTGCTTTGGGCGGGATTCCAGGCAGTGTTTGAGTTGTTATATTGGGTGGAGAAAGCGTCGTCTTCGTTGGGGAAATTGACTTTGGCTTTCTTGCCGCGGATTTTACGAGCTTCTCTGTCGTAGGCGCGGGCTGCTTCCTCGGCGGTGTTGAAAGTGCCGAGCCAAACACGAACCCCTTTTCTGGGGTCGCGAATCTCCGCCGCCCATTTGCCCCATGGACGCTGTCGTATGCCTCGGTACAGGTTCTTTCTCTGCCGTTTCACCTTCGTCTCCACTCGTGCACCACCTGCTCGTAAAAATGTTCAATAAAACAAAAATCAGAAACAAGATGGCCGAATAAACTTCTGAAAATGAAACAACTAGTACCCGAGGAGGATTGGGGCCGGGGTCTTTTAAAGAGACAGACCGAGTCATCACTGTAGGATTGACTCTGATCAGAGCTAAAGCCATCGATGTTAGCCAAAGTAAAGTTGGGCCAGAAATCGGAAGCATTGACACGGTGGCCGCCGCCGTTCCGAGTGATGAATTCAGAGATGATAGCACCACCACACATTTTCTTTGAAAGCAGAGGAAGTAATTTGGATATTGGAAAAGCTTAATGGAGATGATAAGAAAAAGGAAATTTAGAAGGGTTTAAGGGATGAGGAAGAGAAAGACCATGATGGGGGTTTAAATAGGGAGATGCAGGTTTCCAAAAAAAAAAAAACAAGTAGGGAGAGGCAAATAGAAAACAGCCAAGACAAGTTGGGGTATGGAACTTTCCTCGCCCTTTTACCCCACCTAAACAAATTACGGCTCTTATTATAAATATATTCTAGACTCAAATTTGATGGATTTTGATTCAATTTAATTTTATAAAAAATAAATTTAATATAAAAATAAGTATTTAAATTTTGTCTCGAAAAATATTTTAGTGTATAAAGATTTTTTTCGTTAGAATTAAGTGCCTAATATTTTTATCAAAGCACTTTTAGGTGTCTGGACTCTAGTGGCAGTTAAATTTAATCATTTAATGACACATATCGAGCCCTGATAATTTTAAAATTTTATTAAAAAATAAAAAAAAATATTAAAAAACCCAAAAACCTGCGTGCTCAACTCCCCTTCTCCCTTCCTCTTTTCCCCTTCTATGGTCATCGGTCGACCAGCCGTGTCGGTTATCGCCACCTTCATTAATACCAACGTTGACCCCAATCAAATCCCCTTTGACATTTCGTCATAAGCTACCACTGTTTGTCGTGAAGAAGCGTTTAAATGTTCGTTGGATTTTAAGTCATCATCGTTGTTTTTCGTCGATTTTGAATGATTCCAACTCCCATAAAGCTGTACCACCACCACCATTCGAAACACCGTGCAATTTTACTCAATGGAGATTAAGATTTTAAAGGTTTAGGGATTTGAATATTGGGGATTTTAGAGATTTAGGGGATTTGGGTAACGGTAAGAGCGACAATTGATCAATGGGTGAACGGTGACGGGTGGGTGACCGTTCGACGATGACGATGGTGGCCAGCGATGGCTGGTAACGGGGTTGAAATGAGAGATTTTAATTTTTTAAAGTTTTTTATAATTCCATTAAAAGTTTGTGTTTTTTATAAATAAATTGTTTTTTTCATTAAAAATAATATTTTTATTATTAAAATAATTTAAAAATAATAAAATATAACGACGAGCATCTAAAATTGTAAATGAAAAAACATTAAACACCGATTTTTAGCGAAAATTTCTTCATACACCAAATTTTTTTTAAGGTAAAGTTTATACCTTATGTTTGTATTAATCACATATTTTTCTATTAAAATTTAATCAGTGGACCCTCCCTTAATTCAAATCAAGTTAGATGACAAATAAATGTGTATAATATTTGAGTCGAATTTGAATCGATAAAAGATATAATCAGGACTTGTACTGATCCCTAATTTCGATTTAATTCGAAACAAATCCGAGTATTTACATTTTTACAATAATTTAAGGAAATTACTGTTCATTAATTCCATTACAAAAGGTGGACGAGAACTGGCAACAGCCGATGAACGACACGCCGAATGTGGGCCATTATGTTTATAAATTGACTAGATGATGAAAAATTTGTAGTTATAATAACTTCATTAGAGAAAGGGACATAGTTTCTGATATCGAAATCAGCTTAATTAATGTCGATCGAAGACTTTAATATAGATTTTGTCGTCAACCCATCCATTCTTCAATCAATTTTTATATTATAGATGATATTAAATTTATCTAATTCAGTGTAAATTCATACCACCGTTATTCTTGATGAATAATCTGTAAATTTTATGTAAATCTCAATTGTATTTATGTATGTCTAGTTGTAGACAAGAAGAGCCACCTTTGACCTAAATTTTTTTAATAAAAAAAACCTTAGTTAATATGATACTTTTTTTTATAGAATTTAAATTTATCTAGTTCGATTGTTTTCTTTTATTCCCGATTATATTAAATTTTGAATAGATTACAAATATTAAAATATAAAACTAATGTTACTTTTAAATATGTATTAAAAATCAATATTGGTTGGTTTAAGTGGTAAATAATTTGACATCACTTAAGTAATGTCTTAGGTTTGAGTCTTTGTGTACGCAGAAAATCTCTGTTGAGAGACTCACCCATTAAAACTAAATGTGCAACCCGAGTCGATTCAAATTAATCAAAACGAAACTCTAAAACTTGAAATCAGCAAAAAAATATATATATAATAAAACTATAATATTATCTATTGGCATGATTAAAATACTCTACTCTATCCATGGTCAAACTTGGGTTTTAAGAAAGCGTGCTTAGGTCGGCATAAGATTAGAATCCAATTTTATATTATCGTTTTGTTCTTTTCGACATATGAGAGATGAAGTTACATGCAATTAATATGTCGAACCCTTTACTATTCACATACTTATCCATAGATTAATTTACCGTTTTAAGAATGATTTTATAATTAAAATATTAGTAATGATTTTTTACCCTTTAGAACTAGAAATAAATAGCCTTACCCCTTTCAAAAGTATTAAATGTATACTGATACTTTATTGAAAAAAAAAAATTGATAATCAGAATTGTCTTGTCGTTTGAAATAAATAAATAAAAAATATTGGGTCCGTTTGGTTCTAAAGAATATCGACTTTTTTCATTTTTATTTTCTTAAAAAATAAAAAAACGTTGAAGAAAATGTGTGCTTGGTTGTAAAATTAGAAAATAAAAATAAGTGAAAATATGAAAACATATAAAAAATGTTTCAGTATTTTTATTATAATTGTTTTGAAAATTAAAACAAATGTTTCAATATTTTTATTAAAATTGTTTTGAAAATTTAAAAAATAAAGAAACATTATATTTAGATTTTTAACTTAACTCCCACATGTTTATTTTATTTTTAAGTCTTACATTGACTATAATTTAATATCTATGTGAAATATAATTTTGTTATTAGATTTTTTTAATTATATATAAATATATATGTGTTTGTGTGAAATAATCTCAAACACAATATATAAAATATTATGCACTTTACTATCAAATATATGGCTTTATCCCAGTTGCAAAAGCTTGCCCAAGGTCCCTGGTTTGAAACCACCCAAATGCACTTCTATTCTAATATGTTTTTCATTTAGGTGTCACCACCTGATTGGTGGGAAAATTTATTTTTAATTAACATATTAAAATTAATTAAATTCATCCTCCAAATATATAGTGACATGTGGCACCTCCGGATTGGAGGACTAAATTTAATTAATTGAAATAAAATATTGACTAAATTAATACAATGTGTAAATATTAAGGATCAAATATATAATTATGTCAATTTTATTAACGGTCACGTCATCGCCTCTGTTAAAAATTAACGACCAATGGCTTGATTGAACCATTTAAATAGTTTGGTGGTATGTTTGATCACTTTTAAACATTAGTGGTCACCTTGTACTTCTTTGTTATGTTTCCCATTGACCTTGGGGGACCAAATACTTCCATTTTTTTGCAAAGGCATCCTCACAACTTCTTCCCTGGAGGCATGTGTGAAAGAGAGCGCATATTATGCAATCGGTCAGCTAACTTGACAATGATGACACGGACCTAGAAAGGAAAACAGTTGGTTAGCACATAATGTTCCATAAAAACATCATCAAACCATTTTTTTTAAAGAAAAAAAACACCTCCTCTGTCATGGCCAGAAACATCTGCCGAAGGTCATCAGCTTTCACATCTTGTACTGAATTATGTTCATTCTTATACTTCAACTTTCCTAATTCTGATACCTGGTTAGGAAAAAGATAAAAAGAGGCCAAATTGAGCCAAAACTATCTAGGGTTGTCTGACATGGCATAAAGCTAAACAATAATGACGCTTATTTAAACAAAGTACCCTGGTCTCTCCTACAATGCGACGTACGGTAAGGCCAAACTCCTCTATTCTTTGGAATTTAACAACATTTGTATCTTCCACAGTATCATGAAGCAATCCCGCTGCAATCGACTCCCAATCCAATTCCTAGAACAATAGTTAAGGTTAGTTATACTTCAGAGCCCTACGCAGAATACATCTTTCAATGGAAGCATACTTCTATTAACTCACAAGTTCTCCGAGAATACGTGCAACTTCAACTGGATGAATGATGAATGGTTCTCCACTCGGTCTCTTTTGACCATCATGTGCCTCAAAAGCTAGCTGTATAGAACAAAAACCAACTTCTAACAACGTCAAAGAGATGTTTTCAGAAAGTGCGTGGTAAAAACTTTTGCAAACTGAAGGCCTTACCTTGAGGGCATTATGGACCAACTCCAGCTCATTAAGTGAAAGGTATGATATAGAAGGCTTCAGATCCTAATTCGATTATAAAAACAATCAGTATTAAGTTTGAAGACATCATAGTGACAACCTTGTTTACACAATAATTGATATTGTTTATAGACAGGACTCATAGGAGGACAGAAACAGTCAATTTTACCTCCCACAAACCTTCAGGAGAGACCTCATTAGAGGCAACTGAAGAGAAAGATGATGAACTACAAAATTGCCATCTTTTACAACCGACATGAAGCAAGCTTGATCTGAAGAGTTTCCCAAGTAGTATGAATTCAGAAACATCTGTGGAATAGCATCCTCCTATATCAGGAGCCTGGCAAAAACATAAGATTCAACCAGCCCAAAATTAGCAACTTTGCAGTTTGCATACCTTCGTATAAAAGTCATATATAAGGCACCAGAATTCGATTAAAAGATGAACATTCAACCTAAAGGATGCCCTCACAATGTATGATTCTATGGATCTTCAATAAACGGAACCCATTAAATGATTTTAGTGGTTGAAGAGAGTGTTGTTTTCCTTAAAAGTCATGGTTTAAGCAGATACGTCTACGGGTACATGTGCTTTATCAATAATTAAAAAAAATTAAAAAACAAATATTATCTTGTAATCACACTAGACTGTCGCCACATTTCTAAGCTTGATTAAATAACACATATAAAGCTTCTGTGACTAAGGGTCCGTTTGTTTCACGTAAAACGTTTTTCGGAAAATGTTTTCTTTATTTTACAGTGTTTGGTTGGAGGAAAACTGGTTGGTCAACGTAAAACATTTTTCTGATCAACATAATTTACTTTGTGTTTCTGGAAAATGACTTATAGTCTAATTTTCCGTAAGTTATTTTTCGAACTTTTCACTTCAAAGAATAAATACTCAAAATAATTTTATTTTATGATTTTAAAATTAATAAAATATTTTAATAACATTTTAATCTAAATATTAATTATTAAAATATTTATTAATATTTTTAATAATATAATATTATATTTTTAATATTATAATAAAATAATCATTTATATTATAATAATATAAGATATTGTATTTTTATTTTATAATATATAATAAATTATTAATAAAAGTTATATTATTTATTAATTTCATACAAATAATATTATTATATTATTAATAATGAATAATATTATTTATATATTTAATATTAATATTATAATATAATAATATTTTAATAAAAATATTTAAAATATAATAATTAATATTTTTAAAATATAATATAACACTATTACTTTAATAAATAATTAATATAATTTATAATATTTTATTTCAATAAAATAAAATAATATTAATATTAATATTTTATTAATAAAATTATAAAAAAACAATATTTTATTAATAAATAAATTATTTAATATTAAAAAAATAATATTAAGTTTTATGATAAATAATATCATTTATTGTATTTAATATTTGTAATAAATAATTTTTAAAAAATTCATCAACTAGTGGAAAAATGGTTTAAACAATATCTTCCAAATATCGTAAAACGTTTTTCATAAAATGTTATTCAATAAATATAATTAATTTTACGAAAATATTTTTCCAAAAAACATTTTCAGTAAAACAAACGGACTCTGAATAAGAACAATGAGAGTGGGTCTTTTTATCAAAGCTCACGCATCATCCGAAACTCTTTCATTGGATATCCATTAACACCGATACTCTTATTGTGGTATACACTCCCAAATCCAAATAACAACAAAATAAAAGTTGTGAGAGGTTCTTAGTAGTTGATTAGACCCGAATTGCGTATTTACCACATTCATGATAATAACAAATTAAAATAACAACAAAAGAATAGTTGTTACATCAACGGATTGATTTAAGTGGTAAGTAGATTCATATAGCTTAAATAAGGTCTCAGATTTGAGATTGTGTTTGTAGAAAATCTCCGTTGGAAGATTCACTCACCAAAACTAGGTATGCGACCTGGGCCGGTCTAGATTAGTTAGTGTGAAGCCTAGGAAGGGAAATTAAAAAAAGAAAAAGAATGGTTGTTATGGTTTGTATTTATTATTTTAATATATAAACATGGAAGCAAGCAGTATATAAATAGGTATGGATTCACATTAAAAAAAGCACAACCAATTAACCAAAACCAAACCATAACAATGGCTGAAGTCACAGATGTGTTGGTGAAGTTCAGTAACGGTTCCGATTATACTTTATCCCTCGACAGCAGCGTTGTTTGGTCCGGACCTCAGCCTTCGGATATCCCGAAAGAAATTGCGTATCTCGGTGATGCTGAGTTTAAGCTCAGTCCTTCAGCCGTTGTTCTTGCATACCGATTAGTGGGTGACGATGCCGAAGATTAGGCTCTTGCCTGGAACATCCCGGCTGAATATATTGGCCAGGTATTGCCATATTCTTTTCTTAAAATGTAATTTTGTTTCATGCACTACATTAAACCATTGAAATGTGTGTGTGTATGCAGGTCTTTACCGATATCAATGGTACTGTCGATTGGGGTGCTATCGAACCGGAGCTTGAGGCACAAAAAAACCCAAATATGAAATAATCAAGCATGATTACGAAGCCGGACGAGCATACCTCTTCCTCCTCGATAACTATCTATGCATATATTATGGGGCTCTTTAAAGAGGCGAATTGAAAGCCACGTTGCTTCCTAATAAAAACTCTGGCTGTCCAAATCAAATAATACAAATGTGATGTGCATCGCATTACTACTATAATAAAGCCATGAGAAATGTAAGTGTGTCTTTGCCTTTGAAATTCTGTCATTGTGTCGCATGCCGACTATTTGTATTATTCTATTTATGAATTGAATAAAAGATTAGCTGGAATCTCATCCCAAACTAATCCCAATTTGCTAAAAAAATTAGCCATCGACAATAAAATTATAGCTTATATAATCATGCTCATCTTAATGCTTAACTTCAAAATTTAAACCTAATCCCTCAATTTTAAATCTTAAATTCATATATTCTAATTTGACATCACAAACAAGGTTGACGGAAATGCAAAGCCGGAGGAGTACGGTGTCGGAGCTTTGGAAAAGAAGGAAGCCAATGCAAGCACGTGATGGGACGCTAGTTGGACATAAATGTCAAATTCTGGTAAACCTTGTAGTTCTCTTTGTTGGTGGTGTCTTTGATGGTGGGATCAAAGTGTTGCTGTTTATATGACTGACTGAGCTAATATTTGCATAATCAGAAGATTGATGGTGATAAATTAGAAATGAACTACTTGGATATCATCCTGCGAACTATTTCAGTTCATGTTCGTATATATTATCGTGCGTCAAAAACACTTATGAAGCTATAAGTAATGTTAAACAAATAGTTAATGAGAAAATGTGTTCGAAAATCTTTTCAATCCATAAATTTAACAACAATTTGTCTTTACAAGCTATTACCTCTGTCAGAGAAAGAGCATAAAGTTAATAGACAAACCAAAATACATACAAAGTTCCTTAACCGAAATACGCAATGTACATAATATTTGGCACTTAAGGCAAACCATTTTGATCAAATTAACCGCCAACTCGAGTCCAGCATGTTACCCCCAAATTAAAGCAGGCATCGAATCAACCTCGACCTCGGCCACTACCTGTCACAGTAAGGGGAAAAAAAGCAACCCATCAGCCTGAATTATGACTGTAAACGAGATAAAACAGGTCGTAAGTTATTCGAAATCGATTTGATCAAAGCTCGATCAATTTTCAAATTGAATGAACTAAACTAGCTCGAACTCAACTTGAATTCTTAACGAGTCGGAATAAGCTACTTTATACCCAACACGAAAAGCTCACGAGCAACTCGAAAAATAATATATTAATTTTTTAGATTTTTTTGAATTAAATTATCAATAATATTAACATTTACATGTCTTTTGAAAAATACAATATAAGGTTTTCATGCACTTAAGGCTCAGATTCAAGCTCGAGTTTGAACTTCAATCGAGTTAAGTTTGAAAATATTTCAAGTTCAAATTTTTTTGAGCTCCAACTTCAATTTTTGATTTTGAGTCAAGTTTGAAAATTTTAAGCTCGCGAGATTTCGAGTCGAGTCGAGCTTCAATTATTTATTTCAAGTTAGAGTCAAGCTTGACAATTTTAAGTTCGTGAGTTTTCGAGTCGAGTCGAGCTCAATTTTACACTTTCCGAGTCGAATCGAGCTCAGCAATACTTAAACTCAACTCGTTTACAGCCCTTGCCTGACTTCATCAAATGTTAAGCCAGTCATAATAGATTATTCAATCATCCGAGCTACAAAACCGTGTTTCAGCAAATTTACCTCGACCACTCCTGCCTCGGCCTCCACCAGCACTCTTAGCACCGTCATCTAGCCCACGCCCAGGTCCTTTCGATTGCCTTGCACCAGGACCATCTTCTCGACCTCCTCTGCCTCTGCCACGGCCCACACCAGGAGGCTTCCTATCTGGATAAGTCGGCAAAGTCAAAAGGCCATGTTAAAGATTCTGGTTTTCATATGTAGAAGTACTATCTGTACCCCAAATGTTTCTACTTAAAATCAAATACTAAGATAATGATAGATCCGATCTCATAGCTAGCAAGAGAAATAAATCATACCTGCACGACTCTTTGATTCTTCCTGAACTTTATCAATTACCTGAAATCGAAATGGTAAAGTTACAACGATTGGTACACGAAGAAAACTACAACAAAACAAAACAACAATTTACAGAAGCCATGGATAAAAGAAAGCTATTTCACCACCAACAACAACAACAAAAGAAAAATTTCCACTCTATCCTTTCATGAAAACAACTAAGAATCAACCATTTATAAAATCCAACACAGTGAATGAAACCAAAGACGATGACTACTCTTATCTGTAAAAGTTAAGCAAATGAAAGAACAACATATGCTTCAAAAAGGTACCTCATCAGGAACTCGAAGATACTTGATTGTATTTCCACGGATATAGCATTCGGGCATTCGCCAAAACCTGTCTCCATCCTACATTATATTTACAATCAAACCCTGACCATAATTAACAACAATACCCTTACTATCATTCCTAGGAAGAAATAAAATCAATCAAACAAGAAACATTGAATGAATCCATATTTGTACCTTTGAAGTGCAGATAACTTCACGAAGATGGATGTTCATCCAAGTGTCGCAATTGACCAAATGTCCGTTATACGTCTCCCCATTTTTCAGTTCCACCAGCTATGAGCAAACAATATAAAAAGCAAAGACAAATCAAGCACACAATTGTTTCAAAACAATCAATTTCTTAAGCAGACACAATTTTCAAAACGGTAAAGAACAGGAAACAAGGAAGTGTGAATGATCTTACCATGGGATGACCCTGTGCAGTTTTTAGTAGGGAAAGTGGAAGCTGCCCACGTTTTACACATAGATAAAACCGATTAGCCAGCAAAGAAGATGAATTATTCAAAAACATGTTAAAATACAAAAATTAACCCAAAAATCCTTTGATGGCATATGACAAGTTCTGTTTTCTTGCTTTGGATTTCTCAAATTTCATAGGATATAAGCAACCAAAGGGACAAACAAGGTAAGCTAAATAGATTAACATACCATCTTTTTCCCTTTTTCTTTGAATGAAGCAGAAACCTAACGAAGAACAAGATACCTGCAGGAAGAAAAGGGGAAAACAGAAGGAAATAAAAAATCAATGACCATATCAAAGAGGGTATGATAAAGAGAGAAGATTTATAGAACATTGAAATTGAACAATCACGCTTTACGTCTAAACCCTAAGCACGATCAGAGAATAGTACAGCACTTACGGTTTTTCAGGGGGGAAAGGGTTCTGGTAGCGGTAGGGAAAAAAAAGGGAAAAGAAATATAATCAATCGGCTTAAAACCCTAAATTAAATATGAAAAACGAAATAGAAATGAAAGAAGGCATCAGATGCCCTGTATTTTTTTAAATAAATGTAATTTTTATACTATTTTTCAATTAATGTGATTCCCTAATTTAAAAAATAAATTTATTTTTTAAATAAATGTAATATTTTTATACTAAATTAAACATGTGATTCCCTATTTTTTTTTGAAATTATAGATTTTAGTTTTTAGGGTTTTTTTTATAATTTCAGTAAAAAAATGGGTTTTTTTGTAAATAAATTAATTTTTTCCTTTTTAATTAAAAATAATATTTTTATTATTAAAAAATAAAGTTTAGACACTTAAAAGTATAATTAAAAAATATTAGACACCTATTTTTAGTAAAAAAATTTCTTTAGATACTAAAACGTTTTTAACGCATAATATTAAGCCAAAAAAATAAAATAAACAAGCATGGCGTATCAAAGGCAGTAAAGTTGAAGATTTGTTTGCCCTGTAATTTGTTTGCAGCCTTATTGTAACATCCGCAATACCGGGTTAGTGACCAAATTGTAAAGTTTCAGAATTTGGTGACTAAAGTAGAAGAATGAAAGAATTCAATGATTATTTGAATATATATATTGAAGGTTATTTGGTAATTATTAAAGGAAATTAAGGGTATTATGGTCATTTGACCAGAAAGATTTTTTATAATTTTTTTTAAGGGTAATAAGCACGTATGAAGAAGAGTCCAGAGCATTCTTCAGTCTTCTTCTTCCTCCTCTCCACCGTGAAGCTTGGTATAAGGTAAGTGAGTCTTTATTTGGTTAATTCTTTCGTTTTAAAGCTTGTTTTGATTCTTGGGATATTAAGAAAGATTAAGGAAAGCTTTAGGGGGCTTAAACCTCAAAGATTAACAAGTTATGAGAAATTAAGAAAAATGAGTTTTTAAGTGAATTTTTGATATGGAAGGAGTTAATAGATTGTGAAGTTGAATTTGACTTGTCAAGGATTAAATTAAGAGGTAGGAAGTGTTAGAATTGGAATTAGAACACATTGGAAATTTGGTATGATTTTTGAATCTTATATGGAAGATAGAATTTTGAGGTTTAAGATGAAATAAATGAATATAGATTGGTTTAAGTATGTGTACTAGAGTTAAGGATGAAAAGGGGATGATATATGAAGTGTTTGAGAGGAAATGAAGTAATTTTCGGGTTGAAAATATGATTTCTGGGCAAGGGGAATCGGTACCCATTCAAGGGGAACCGATACCCCTTCAAACGAACAAGAATTTCCAGTATGTCATAGGGAACCGATACCCCCATGGGGGGGGAACCGATTCCCCCTAAAGGAAAATTGGGGATATGGATTTAATAAGTTCGTTTAAATTGATAGTATCCAATTACAAGGTGTAGGTATCTAATGATGGTCTCGAAATGTACATTTATGTAGATTCTACGCATAAAGCAATTCCGGAACGTTTAGCAAGTAAGATCGATCAAGGGAAAGATAAGAGATTGGATTTGGCTAGTGAGGCCAGGTGAGTGCATATTAGTTAGTTTATGGTGCTAAATGGAAACAAGACTTGCGACAAGTCTATTTCCTATGTTAGAATGCATGAATATATGATTATACGTATATGAATGACATGAATTGTATGTATGCATGAATATATGTGTTGACATGCTTTTGAATGTAATGTTATGAGAAGTATGTGCTATATAAGGTATATATATACATATGTGAAACTGAACTATGTGACTGCATGAGAAAGATATGAGCCATATGACATGATATAGGTGAACATGAGAAAGCAAAGTATGAGATATAAACTATGTGATCATAGTAAAATATAATTATATTTTTATATGATAAGTGAAATAAACTGGATAATATTGATCTATAGGATGAAGTGAAAATAGTACACCAACTAGGGGATTTGAACATAAATGATAAGATGAACGTATAAGATAAGCTAGATGGGAAAGATTCATAGGTTTAAATAAAGCTATAACACATGGGTTGAATGATAGAAATTTGTGAAGTTATATGAGAAGATTATAAGAGCTATAAGAAATTGAATTAAGTAACAGATTAGATTATATATAGAAATAATAGAAGTGAGATATGTTTATAAGTCTGCCCTAGATGAATACGAAATATAAGAGTGCTATATGATTTATATTAGGATAATCTTGAGGATATATATATATATATAGATAGATATGAAATGAAATGAAATGAGTTATATGAATACCCAATTATGTGATGAAATGGTGAATTACCTGAACATGTGAATATATGTTTAAGAGAAGGCATACGATTAAGATATAAGCAATGTGACTATAAGTATATGTGCTTTAAGTGATATGACTTATAAGTATTTCTATTATAATGTTACATGATATGTTATGTATGTTAAAGGAATTATGTGATGGTATAAGAATTGATAGGAAATATATGTGAAAACAAGTATATGATACGAGACAAAACTTATGACTATAAGCTACGTGAAAGTGTTCTAGGTGTTTCGATATATTATATGAAGTATATGATCTTATGTGAACAAGATATGATAAGTATGTTTATATGAATAAAGGTGATTGGGTGAGAAATGATAAAAATTATATGAAAACATGACATATGTGACATGTGAATTATATGGAAATGATCTACGGGTAAGTGAACTACGTGACTATGTGATCATATGAAAAGAAGCTATGTGATACGTGATATGTGAAAGTGAATTACAAGTTTATGTGTATATTTGAAATGAAATAAATGATAACGCCCATGTTATGTGTCATGAGAGCTAGGGGTATAGTTGGCATGCCAAGAGTCGAGGGTTTATTCGGTTCTTTAGGACATATGTATATCCTTTGGAACCTGTGTGAAGTCTTGAAAGACACATACTTGATCCATAGTATATGTATATGATTCTTAAGGAATTCTACGTGGTCCTTATGGACATCATTCTACGGGCACTACGGTGCAATTCTACGGGCACTTCGGTGCAATTCTACGGGGCACTTCGGTGCATTTATACGAGCTGTGGTGACAGCATAGTGCACAACCTCTATAGACTCACATATCGATAGTTCTCACATATATACATGGGCTAATCCAGAGATATGAACAAATATAAGTTAGTGGTATGATAAATGCTATAGAAATTATATGATGTTGTGTGTATAGTGTTTGATTGAAAAAGTATGTGATTATATGATAACATGTGAATGATGAATTATGTGTATGTATGAATTTACTGCGATTAATCTGATATGATTCTATACGATATGAAAAATGCCTGGAATTGCTATAACATGATAGAACAGAATATGCATGTATCAATATATGTTTTAAAGTGCATTATAAGTGGTTATGCCTCACTAAGTCTTCGACTTAGCGTGTGATTGTTTCACACGTAGGTTTCGAGAAGAGTAAGGAGTGATGCGGAGCAAGACAGGTCAGTTTTCCTTACCAAAAGATCAGATCAGAAATATTTGATAAAGTATGTTTTTGGTTATGTATAAAGTGTTGGCATGTAATAAGTCATTAAGTACGAGCACTCTGATAAAGTCTGTATTTTGTTTTAAATAAAGTTTTAAATTTCCCGGGATTTTTCTTAAGAGTCAAGGTTTGAAAAGTCAATGTGACACTTCGGACTCGTATCAGGGTCGGATACGGGTTGGGGGTGTTACATTTAATGGTATCAGAGCTATGGTTTAGCCGATTCTCGGCATAAACCGAAGTCCAAAAGGTCATAAAAGGTGTACATGCCAACATAGATTGAAAATTTCTGATCTGATAGTGTAAGGAATACGTTGTCTTGCTAATAAAATAAGAATAGTTTAACACAGTAGAAATCCGATCGTGATAATTTCGAAGTAAGTGAAAGGTGATATTCCTGATTGTGATAGCTATTCACTTGCCCTGGCCAGGCAGGATGAAGAGCGGACACCTCAGGAAATGCCTAGTAAGATCAAAAGTTGATTTCAGAAAGCTGAAATCATATCTGAATAATGATAGAAAATTTTCATCGTTTGGAATCGGAAAAACGATGTAGAGTAGTTTTGCTATTATGTGAATAAGATAGAATATGGTGAACGGGTGTCACCATAAGAATGTTAAAAAGATCTAATGACGTGATGATTACGTATAGAAGAACTCAAGGATAAGTGCATCAGTGACAAGTGTATAAGATGTATATGTCAGAGCTTATGAGTTCGAAATGAAGGAATAACATTGTGTATAAGCCAGAGCGTTTATATGATAAGGATTTGCAGTTAAGACGGAAAAGTTAGCGTTAGCTAACAAGAATATGCGATGGAAATGTACTGGAATTATAAGATATAAAATATTGTCAGGATATGATAACCAGATCTGCAATGGATCTGGATACAGTTGCATATTTGGATCATAATAATGAGGTATAGTAAAGGAAAAGGAAGTAAGAATTGGTATCTTTAAATAAAGCTGAGGATTAATAAGAAGAGTTTGAGAATGTGTATATCGATGATCAGATTATAAGACACAGGAAGTCAGAATGTTGAGTTTGAGCAAAAGAAATTTCAGGATGTATGAGAATAGAGGTGAAATTGATAAGTTGAGTAAGTGAATTTTTAAGATAATTTCGATTTGACAGGATGTATGTGTTTGGTTGATTAGGGTTTGTACCCTAGATTGAACATATATTATTGACTAGCTGTCAGAGTAAAAGGGATAGAATAATAGGATTGAAGGAAAAGATAAAGTTGAGTTAATTGATTATGATGTGAATTTGAATATGGTTGTATATTCTGAGCAGATAGATATGATGTAGAAACTGAGATAAGTGTTTGCATGGAATCTTCAGGAAGAAAAATACAAGTATAAGAATGATAAAGAATGAAGTTATGTATAAGAAATGGGTTATTAAAGTAATGAGGATGCAATGAAGATTGGTACATAAAGATGAGTATAAGTAATAAGACAAGAGTATGTGAACATGAAAGGAAATATATGATTAATGTATAAGGAATAAGGAATAAAGAAATGAAAGGGA